TTGACCTCAAATTCAGCTGGCAGGGAAACCGCAAAAACATTTGCTGCTCACTGGACTTGCCATCAATTTGGGGCTCTCATCTGGCAATCTATCTCTGCTGTCGGCTTGCGCAGACCGCAGGCGATTCTCAATGCAACTACTCATATAGCAATAACAACAACAACTACTAGCACTCTATACACAGGTCCTGCAACTGTAATCCATTTACTCAACTGGCTGCAGTCAATATTTCTCAACTAGTTTAACTTGAGCAAATTTTTGCGTCTAAGCCGCAACGAAAGTTATCAAGAGCTGCTCCTCAGCAGCTGTGCTCCCAAAAGTGGCTTAAGACGCACACAACCACAGCCAGCCTCCCCGCACGCCCACACCAAAACTTGGGCATGCCTAAGCTCATTTAGGCAGCCATCCATATCTCTCTCTTTTCTTATTTTTATTTAAATTTTGAGTTATTTATTTACAGTTTAACGTACCGCTACCTTTTAGGCACCCTAAGCCAAGCAGAAGTTTAATTAATTTATATATCTACTCAAAGACATAACTAGGAGAGCATATTTTAGAGTATGTAAAATATAGCCAAGGCTTAAGGAGTCATTAAGAATGAGAGTGATGTTCAGGTCAAGACACGATCCAGCAGGTCGTTTCAGTCTACTTCTAGCACAGGTGCGGGAACTGGGAGGACTTTGAGCTGCAAAGGCTACGCGCCCGGTCAGGTTATACCAATCAGACCCAAGACTCAAAACTCAAGCCTCAAAATTTCTGCACCGCCCACACGACCAGAGCTAGGCAAAAGAAAAACCACAAGAGTAAATAAAAATTTGTAGCTAGCAGCAAAAGAGAACCGGCACAGTCTCAATAGCCTCCTGGCGCAATCGAATAACAGCTCCCACTGGCATTCCAGGCCGATTCCTTAAATACAATTATGAGCGTCTTCTGTGTGCAGTGAAAATGCCCCAAAAAGTATGCTACAAATTTTGTCTACATTATTCTTTAGGTGCGCACATGCCCAGAGCATATTTATACAAATCTACTTATACTTGTTGACAGCGAGAGGGATAGAGAGAGATAGTGAAAGAGAGAGAGAGTGAGAGTGAGAGAGAGAGAGAGAGTGAGAGAGAGAAAGTGAGAGAGAGAGAGAGAGTGAGAGAGAGAGTGTGTATATTGGCTTTGTGCAATGATCAGCTGTCCGTTGATCTGTCTGAGTGTGAGTATGCATGTGTGTCTGTGTGTGTGTGTGCGTGTGTGTGTGCGTGTTTCTCTCTAACTCTGTTTGGCTAATTGTGTGCAAAAATGATAAGCTAGAGCCATGCATACATACATATATGAGTGAGAGCACTCTAACAAATAGTTTGATGCTTTATGGAACTTGCCTATAGAATTTTGTCCTAGTAGAACCTTTTACAATTAGAATTACTTTACATCATATATTATAATATGCATTTATATTCACAACTCTAAACACCAAAAACTTTAAATTTGACCATGTGCTAGATTTTTCAATTTCCAAGCAATTTTCGCAAAAAAAACATTAAAAAAAAAATAAATAAATAAAAAATAAATAAAATATTAATAAATATTAAATATCATTTTTTAATAGCTTAAATTTATTTTATTATATTTAATTGCAATATTTAATTATAATTTAAGCTCGTAAGTAACTATTGATCGTTACTCGATGTCTGCAAATGTCTTTAGCTATAACGTAGATCGTATCGCTCCTGGGACAGACAACTCAGGATCAGAGAGAGAGAGAGAGGTGAGAGAGAGAGTGAGAGTGAGAGAGCGAGAGAGTGTGAGTGATTTTTTTCGGTTGATTTAGCTGATAGAGAGCGCAAAGACTTAAACGCTTAACAGTTATTTTCGAGCTGTGGCTTTTAGTTTTAATAGAATAAACAATTTTATATGATTTTATCAACTAATTTTACAGCTCTTTAGCTGAATAGCTAATCTTCAAGTCACTTTTCCTATATACATGACTTTTTAATATATGGACACTTAAACCATTTTATTTTATGTATACCCTGGCCAATTTCTGCATTTAATCCTCGATTCAATTTATTGAATTCGTGCTAAATCAATTGAAAGCGGTGTAAACTTTCGTTTTGGGGTTGACGGCGCTTGTGATCCGGCCGCAAATGGCATGTGAAACGCCGCAATAATTGAATCAGTTTCAAGTGCAACTTATTGGGGCCGAGCCCGAATGGGATTTTGGCTCCAAATGCTATTTGATGGCATTTAAATAATTTGATTTTTAGTTTTCGGCTAATGAGATCTGAAATCTGAGTTGCCGGACAACGTAATCATGCGTGTGTGCGTGGGTGGGTGGGAGGTTGTGTGTGTGTGTGCGTGCGTGCGTGTGTTGTGTTTTTTTTTTGTGGTTTTCATGGAATTTTGGCGTTTAAATGTGGTCTACGCCCTCTACCTTGGGGGTGTGCTTTGGTCGTAATTCGGTTTGCATTATAGTTCAATAAGTTAAGCACATACACACACACACATACATACATACATACATGGCTTGATAATCTGTAATAATTTAACTAGAAATTCAATATGTGTGCTGAATAAGGTCTAGTTCCCTGAACTCATTGCCATCGCCTACGGTCATACAATACTCTTCATGGATTATGTACATACATACGTATATATACACAGATTTAGTTTGTATTAGGCGCACAGCCAGCACAATTAAATCAAATTAAATTTATTCAAATTGTGTTCTTTCAAATTCATAATTTCAATTTAAATTTGTCCTGCTGTGCTGGAATTCAGAGCTCTCGGGTTTCTTTAGTACAACATTAGTACAACTTCTGAACTTTGCCAACTATTGCTCTTTGCCTTTGTGCCTTGTGCAAACTTTGCCTTTAAGTTGTTTTAATCGTTCCACCTCGTCATGCACCGGCCGCCCGATGGGGTATATTAGGCTGTTACTTTGAACTTAGCTTCCAGCAGGCCGGCTCAATTAGGCCAAAGCTCACGTAATTGATAATTAACTCTTGTTTGATTCGCTGACAACTAAGTGCAGGTATACGCAGGTCGTGCTGCTTAAAATTTAATTCGAAAAAAATAAAATAAAACAAAGCTGCCAACTGAGTTTTCTTAACCATGTGCTACTCATTTCTGCTGGCTGCTCGCCCTCTGGCCCTCCTCCCCCCCTCTCCTCGCTCTCTTCCTTGCTGTCTGTCTGCCTGCCTGCCTGTGTCTTTCCGTGCTGCTGGTGTCGGCTTTCAGCCACTTTTGCTCAGCTTGGCGGCCAACATAAACAAAATTAAGCAGCAGCAGCAGCAGCTTTCAGTTGCACGCCCCACATAAATTTGTCTAATTACTTTGTGCCCAACTTCAGTGCAGATGCCAACTGTTAAACTTTTCGCAAATGTTCTCGTTTTAAGTTTAATTATCTGAGCTCACAGTGCACAACAATTCTTCACGCTTAACAGGGCATTTTCATATTTAAATATAACAACCGAAAAAAAAAAACAACAAAAAAACGAAACAGAAAACAAAGAACTTTTCCTTTACTTTTCGCTTTTACAACTCGAGTGACTGAGAAGTCTTACGATTTAGTTTTTGCAGCTCAGTTCTGCCAACAGCTCAATCCAGCTCAAGCCAACTACAACACAAACATTTTCAGTGTTCTGTAGCTGAAATTTGTAAAGAATTAGCTTAAGCTAACAAGAATTTCTGTTATTTGGCTGCGAGCCACAGCCTGGCCAAATCCGAAATTAAACTATTGAAATTTCTTGATTCTGTTGTTGTTATTTATATATTTCAAACGATTGGAAAATTCTGTTTTGATTTCCATGAAAGTTTAGCTATTTTTGAGTCAGACTCGTCAGCACATTAAATACCAGAATTTAATTCTTGATTTCATTTCAATTTTATACTCATTCAAGTAAATGAAATGAGTATATTTGGCTTCATTCGCTAGAAATTTTTAATATATATTCATTCATTCATATATTCACTCTTGAATTATAAGGTGAATTTTCCTATATCTCAAAAGCTAGAGAATGTCAACGGCAAATGGATCTGAATGGGTGTTCTGTAGTCGATAAGGTCCGGTGGTTTTCATTTCAGTTTCAACTCACGGTCGCATCTGCTTTATTTAGAACCAATTCAGTTTCACTTCAATTTCAATTCTGATTCAATCCAGTTGAAATTCAATTTAAATATAAATTTCATGTTCTTTATATTGCCATTTAAAAACCCCTTAAACAAATTCCAAAGCTCTATTGAAATTCATGTTATCTATTATCTTTGACCAAAAGTTAGTTTTCAGCGAAGTTTATTAAATCTTCATTTGATATGCAAACTATGCCCTAGCTGGCATTTCGTACAACAGAATATGCATAGAAAATAAATAAAAAATAAGAAAAAAAAAAGTAAAGCACGTATAAATATCTATGTTTATGCACATAAGTTCCTTTTCAAGTTTTTGTTAGTGAACTTGTGGGAGGGAAAACTAAAATTGATGTCGCATCGCATCGCTTTTACACGTTGAATATAATTTGTATGCAAATTGTAAATCTTTTGCAGCTCTTTTAGCCCGGTCAAATGATGCGAACGGAAGGGCACGCTAAAAGCTCACGAATTTTACGTGACAAAGAGCTATATAATTTTGGCCTTTAATCGAATTTGTGTCGTAAAGCACGCATTTTATGGGTAGGAAAAAGTTCTGATTCTGAGTATAATTTCACAACACTGCTGTGTCGAGGTATGGCTAGGGTATTTGGGCTTTAACTGCTTTCGAGCTAGCTCTAAATGTGGATGTAAACAAATATTTATATATACATTTATATATACGAATTACATACATACATATCTACAATTAAATAAAGCCCCGGCGTAACTATCTCGCTCTGGCTGCTGCCATCTCTGTCAGACACTGTTCAACACTTAAACAGTGTGTAATTTATGACCATTTTCTTCTGCTTCATCTCACATTTCTCACATTTTTTTTTTCTTTTTGTTGTATTCCTCGCACTCAACTTACGGAAATTTTCAATTTGCAGGTACATTTACATTTTCGTGGAGCTGGTCGGGCCACATAATTAAAACGAAACGAGAGCTGGCTACAAATATTTGCATAAAACGCTGTCGGGCTAATAAGTAATGAACTAAGCCAACTTAAAAAGGCATACAGGGCCCTGAACAAAAAACCATTGCAAATATAGAAGATACATACTATCCGAGCGTACCCTACCAAAAGTCCCTGCCACGCATAGAGCATAGAATTTATAGAGCCAACGATTGCAATACAAAGGGCAACAGCTCAAAATATATTGAATAATCAAGTGCATTGCGCGACTTCTTTGAAATTTATGCAACACTGCAAGTAGCGCCGCAAAGCCAAAAAGGATAAAAAAAAAAAAAAAATACGCAACAGGGAAAGAGAAACGTAGATACAGAAAGAGCGAGAGAGAAAGAGAACGTGTGTGAGAGGGAGAGGGAAAGCGACAGTGGCAACATTGCCATATAACGGGATTTTTCGCCTGATTTACTGTTTGCTGTGCTTGCAGCCAACAGCGGAACATCAATCGCTTGCCAAGCCAGCACCTTTTACAGCAACAACAACAACAGCAACAGCAGCAAAAGCAGCAACAACAGCAACAAAATGCGTGGCCGTCACTTGCGCCGACGTTTCAGCCTGCAGCCCTCGTTCATGAAGGATGACAGCGCCGAGGATAAGCCCAAGCGTGACAAGTAAGTTATGGCCTCAAATACATATGGTAAACAACACACACACAAACATGCACACACACATGCACAAGCACATTGACACATGCACAAGTTAAGTTACATGTCAAGCCGATCGACAAGCTAACCACAGAGCGTGTTTAAAACTTTTAAGAAAGCCCATCAATTTATTTAATAGTTGTATTTTCCTCTATATTTATATTTATTTAATAATTATAATTTAATAATTATGCTTTCCTCTATATTTATATTTAAATTTATATTTATTTAAAAATTATAATTTAATAATTATATTTTCCTCTACATCCATATTTAAAGTATCGTTTAGTAAATAGATATTAACTATAAATAGACATTCTTTGCACACATACATACATATTGCTTTAGTTATTGATATTTTTCATTTTATATGTATATATGTATATAAAAAAAAGTACAATCAATTATATATTTAAGAGCAGAGATAACTAAGAATAAATATATATATGATAACTACATATATTTTGCCATTTACATTATTTAAATTTTAAAATCTTACTACAATATATGTATGTATATATAATATAACCTTTCGTTAGTAAATATTTTATTTAATATTTTATTTTTATTTTTAATTTATATTATTAATTTATAATTTAATTTATATTATTATTATTATTATATTTTAAAATTGTTTTTTCATTTTATATATGTATATACTTTTTTTTCACTTTTAGTTTAATTTTATTTAACATTAAAGTATTTATTAAGACGTCTTTTGTCATTGAGCTCGTTGATTATGTTCATAAATATATTTTTATTTTTATTCAGTTGTTAAAAAAAATTATTTAATGTTCAATTTTAATTCAGTTATTTACAAAATGTGTTTTATTACGTTTTTTCCAACCCCCCTTCATATATCAATATTCAAATATAGCTACATTTATATATTATAAAATTTTTTATATTTATTTAAAATTTTTATTTTTTATATTATTATTGAATTTTTTGTTAGTTTCTAAAATAACTGAATATATTGACCGGAAGAGTATTTAAAGTGCGTTCTGCAGCTTTTTTTCAATATAATCCATTATGTTAGTTGAAATGGGAATTTTTAACTATTTTATTTATTATTTTTCTGTTTATTTTTTTTTTTTTTCAATTTGCTATAATGAAAATTTGTTTATTGAATCGCCGATGCACAATGTATAAAGTATGTTTTTCGTTAGAAACGAGCGCGAATTGTTTTTTAATTATAGTCAGATTCCATGGCACGGATTCGCGCTTGTCGTGCGCCGAGAGAGTATAGCAGATGTCACAGCAATCACCATATCTTATTAAATTCCGAAAATAAAAAAACACAACAAACAAATATAATAACTACAATAACGGGTGAAAGGAATCCGACAGTAAAATTGTTAAAGTTCTTGCAGATATTGAATTCCTTAGAGCAGAAGGAATTTTATATTACTTTTGCTGTTGATTTTTATTTCTATTTTTCTTTTGTTTTTTCCGTTTTTTTTTTTTTTTTTTTGTACATTTATTTTGTTTCAAGTGGGAATATTACCAGTTGATGCCCAGGTGGATGTCACCTGCATGTCCGCAGCAACTGTCTAGGCCGAGGGGATTGGCGAGGGGCAACCCAACGGCATTTGCCAGATTAATTTTTTCTGTTTTTTTTTTTTTGTTTTTTTTTTGCTGCTCCCCCACAACAATTACCTTTTCGCAACGTTTCAAGTTTTGTCTCACTTTGTTGTTGTTGTTGTTGTTGTTGGCGGTTCTTATTTGCTCGGTAAGACGAGTCCCGACACCCAACCGCACCCGCTGAGCCTCCACAGCTCCGTCGGACAAGCAGTGATAAGACATTCTACGGCTGATTTGCCGAGTCCCAGTCGCAAGGGAGGGACAGAGATTCGTCGGTTGGTCGAATGGCCGCAGCATTGAATCAAGGGACCATCTTTTGCATACTTTTCTTTTGTTTTGCCAGCCAAGCTAAGAATTTCAGCTTTGCTGCTGGCTTTTTTGTTGTTCTCCATCTTGTATTTTCCTCTCCTTTTGCTCCGTTTTGGGCCGCATATTTGCGTTGATTATTTGCTCTCCTTTGTCGTTGCGGGGTTTTTTTTTCTCTCAAATTCGGTCTAAGGTCCGTCCGATGCTGAACAAAAATATATATGTATGTATATATAAATTATAAGTCGCTTAGATCAAACTGTCACTGCAAACTGCCGTCGCCTCAAAGCGCGATTGAGATTCCATTGTTCTCCGAACATTGAAGGAGCGGGCGACTGCTGCTGAAGCTGTGCGGGATAAATAAAATGAAATTTACTAAAAAACTAAATCCAAATGCCAAGTGCTGATGAATTAAATGAAATGAATGAAAAGCCAGAAATTAATTTACTGAAAAAATACGCATATTTCAATTCAATTTCAATTCAATCTCAATTCAGCTAGAAGTCCGATCTAATTCAATTTGAAATCGTATTCAATATAGATTCAAAAATTCATTCCAGTATGTCTTATGCAGTTATGTTTCGATCGAATTTCGATTCTGTTTTAATTTAACTTTACTCCTATTTTTATTTAGATTCCATTTTATTTCAATTATGTTTCACTTCATATGCAGTTCAATATCAATTCTAGTCGCATTCCATTTCAATTTTGTTTCAATCCTGTATATATTCAATATCAATTCATAGTCAAGTCAATTTATATTCAATTTCCATTTACTTTCTATTCATTTTCAGTTTCATTTCAATTTATCTCAATTTATGAATTTATTTTGATTCAATTTCGATTTTATTTCACTTTCGCCTGCACTTAGATTCAACGGAATTTCAATTCTGTTCTAATTCAATTGCAGTTCTGTTTCAATTCTACAGCAAGTCAATATCAATTTTGTTTCAATTTTGGTTAAATCACACAATTTATTTTGATTCAATACAATTCAGTTTTCATTTTGCTTGCGATACAGATTTAATTGGGCTCAAATTCCGTTTTCAATTCAGTTGCAGTTTCAGTTTTCACTTTTTGCCGCCTGTGGAACGTTGACGAAGACGACACAAAGGAATACTGAAAAATTGCAGTGCAATAAAAAAAAAAAAAAAGAGATATTGTTAAATTGCGTGCAACTGAGCAGGCAGCTGCCACAACAGTTGCTCCAAATATAATTCATTATAAAGCGCTGCTGTTAAGGGCAGACAATATATACCTTGACGCACACACACACACACACACACGCACATACACGCACATGCTTTAGTTTGTCTTTTATCTGTTGTCTTTGGTGGCGTCGTCGTTGTCCTGGCGGCAAACTGATTAATTTTAAATGTAGCGCACAGTTTTAATGAGTCGCTGAGGAGATTGAAGCGTTGCACCAGTTGCTGTATACTACCAAAATGAGAAAACCCCCATCCCCACCCCCTCCTCCTCATCCTTAGCGACTCTTGGGTAGCTAAAGTAGTTATATATGTATGTTTGTATGCGGACACACGATTAAATTAATAAACATGGAAAAACGAACGCAAAATAATTCAATTTAAGAGTAACTCAACTTGCAAGTCAATTTTTCTCTTACTATCATCTCCCCCATCTATCTATCTCTTTCTCTCTCTCTCTCTCTGACACACTCGCTGGCTGTCAATATAGAGTGGGACGAAATAATGCTGTGGACGATGCCATTGGACCGGCAAATGCACGTCATAAAATTGTGGTCATGGGCGCGGCCAAAGTGGGAAAAACTTCGATAATCACACAATTTCTGTATAACACATTCACTACGAAATATAAAAGGACCATCGAGGAAATGCATCAGGGTAACTTTTCAATTGCGGGCGTTAGCCTAACGCTGGACATACTCGATACGGCCGGCTCCTATGAGGTACGTATATTATTATATTTCTTTTATATATATAGTATATATGTTATGTATGCTGTTAGCTCACCTTTGCTGAGTTGCCTAAGTGAGTTCATTAAGTAAATCGAATTGTGTGTAAAGAGCTGCCCGCTAGTCAAGTGGATGTGTGTGTGTGTGTATGTGTGTGTGTGTGTGTGTGTGTGTGTGTGTGTGTGTGT